GTCAAGGTAGCAGCTTCGGTCGGGCCAGTAGTTACAGAAGTTAAGGGGTTTATTCAAAATGATTTAGCTTAGTCCGGTGTTGTTAGAAATGCGTTTATTAAGATCAAGAATCAAATTCAAGAATCTTTGTTGAAGTACCTACTTTAGGATTAGGTAGGACTATCAATTAATCTGAAGTAAACTGACATGCATCTTGTCTCAAGTTAAACAAAGCAGCTAACCATATTTAACATCATATTTGTCAATGGTTCTCAATATTTGACAGTTAGTATATTATGTAATACTTTTTTCATTGAGTTTAGTCTTCTGATAATTTCTGATTTAGAAAAAGTCCGTTATTGCTGTACAAGCAGCACAACGAACACGTTGGCTTACTTGGCTTGGATTAGGTGCAATGGGTATACAATTTGGATTATTGGCAAGATTAACATGGTGGGAATATTCATGGGATATTATGGAACCAGTGACATATTTTGTTGGCTACGGAACGAGTATGGCAATGTATGCCTATTATGTGATCACACGACAGGTTAGCTTGAATATATTTTTGGCATTATTCCAATCCTGTTAATCTCATCTCGTCGTGTACACTGACGAAGACTAATTGCGATTAGTGCATTTTTGCAGTTGAAAAGCAAGTGTTATAAATTCAGTTGTAAGTAGTAGATAACATGTAGTTCCTCCTTGCTGTTTTTAACAGACAGACAAACAGATACAACGCAGAACTTCGTACATACGTACATCAGTTCAGGTTGCCATACCAAATCAGCACAGAGACGCAATTATCAGTTCAAATCCAAGGGTGATAGTTATGGTAGAAGTATTAGCAGTAATGGAGAAGATTAGGGAGCGAAGATCTGATTCGAGAAGTATAATTCAGTAAGATAAATTTAGAAGGAGAAAGGTGAGAGATTATGAGGAATGCAGAAGCTTAGAATTTCATAGAAACACAAAGAGTGGATGCACCGGCGCCATTGCAAACGATTCTGAGCCATGTCGTTCAAGTTCTCTAACTTTTTTTTTTTTTTTTCTCGCGGACGCCAACCAGATAGCCTACACCTACCAACATGACTCAGTCCACTTGTCACTGACTTCATGCATTTGAGCCATGTTTTGGTCTGGCCGCCCCTAGTTTTCTTCCAACCTACTCCTACACCACAAAACATAGCTCGTCGCGGCAGTCTTTTAACAGTACATTTGCTTACTAACGGCTATCGTGGATGGGAAGTGTACGTGCTAATTCCACTGGTATACAATGCAATAAAATGAAAGCAAAACTCTATTAAATGTCAAGCCAACTCTATCCGCCGTGTACATTGATTATTTTGTATCACACAACACAGTTATGACCCCCTTTTTATTGGCAGACAATTGAATAATTCATTGTTAATACTCTCCTCAATTCATTAATCCTGTATTTTTTTTTAACTGAGCCACATGACAGTGTTAATGAATATTGTAGCAATTCAAGTATTTAAATATATCTACGTCTATTTCTGGTTAAAACTATTGATCGTTCGTTAAATGAATCATTTTTTCGAAATGGATCAATTTTTTTTCGCGACTGACATACACTTTTTGTGCATTGACAAATAGACAATTAGACGTGTAAATTTGTTTTCTAAAAATAAAAAACCAAACTATTCACGTATTTATGATACATTAAGGCCTTTTATTCACTGTCTGGATGATTCAATCAAACGGTATGTGTCATGTAAGAAAGATACAAAAGTGCACGCACACACAGAGAGAGATGTGATTAATCTGTCGTATTAGGAATTAGCAATCGAATTGTATCAATTTGTTTTTTTAAATCTAAAATTAAAAAAACAAACTAACTGTTTTGATGCATAATTTGATGCGTTATTTTTGTATCCGTTCAAAACATTTCTATAAAAAAAAAACATGTGATTAGTTCAGCATCTCTTTCTGTAGACTCATTTGTTACAAGAGAGTGATTCTGTACTGAGTAATTCTTAAGGTAGAACTGATGTCCGCCACTTTCTGATCGTCAAGAGCCATATTATGTATGTAATGAGATTTATATTCAGTGATTCGACATCGTCACAGAACCATTCAGCCAGTTAAAACTTTATTCTGGCTAACGAAATACTGATTGTTTAATTAGCTCAATTTCTGTGTGGACTACACAAACATGAAATTAGTCAGTACTTCATGATCACTCAATTGTAAATAACTTAGTACAACTTAAAGGTCAGTCGATGCCAAAGTAGCTCAATGGAAACTTCTCTAACTGTGAAATGAGAGAGAATTCAACAGGAAGCATTAATTCCTTTAAGGTTGTTATAAATACACGTTGCTGATAAGTTTCAAATAACAAGAACCATAGGTCCCGGGCTTTTTAAGGTCAACTTATAAATATCTCGTATCTAAACTATAAATAAGAAGTTCCTGTTTGGATAAATGTCCATTACTACTACACTCTGTGTCCGGATAAATGTGTTGATTGAAGTACGTACCTACATTTCTTTTTATCATCTATGTAATGTTGAAAAGATACTCTGATGTTTATAGATAACGAACAGTCTGTTAGAATACTAATAACATTTGATCTATTTTCATTTGAAAATTTCACTCCTGAATGATACATCAGTTTTTCTTATTATTTTTTTTTCTGTTGCCTAAATTAAAATCATTTATTATCACAGGATTATACACTTCCTCAAGTGTTTGATCGTGAATATCTTAAACGCTTTTATAAATCCGCTGATAAATCATCGTTTGACGTTCAGCGTTACAATGAATTACGTGATGAACTAGCTCATTTAAAATCAGAACTACGTCGCCTTAAAGATCCTCTTTTATATCAATTACCTTTACAACAAACTGAATATATGATACCTGAACAAGTTGAAAATATTGTCAGTCAAACTAAAAATTCATTGCAAAAATAATAATAATAATAATAATACAGAAAAATGAAATAGAGAACATCAACATCAATAAAATAATTAGCTTTTATTATCCAATATACTTTTGTTTTTTTTATTTTATAATGCTTTCATCACTGTTTTCTTTCTTTCATACCAGTAAAATTTTCAATAATGTAATAATACTAATCTACTTCCTCTATTATTTATTTATATAATAAATCAATAATTGAATATAATGGTGAAATTTTGTTTTACAACAGTAATTATTGTCTTAATTGATCTCTCTCGCTCTGTTTCATTTTATCAAATTTTTTTTTTTTACCTCAGTGCTGTTTTTCCATCTTGTACACCATCTCTCTCTCTCTCTGTTGTTTGGTAGTTTTTTTATACACGCTGTCAAGCAACAAATCATTGTGACATTTTTTTTTCTAATATACTTTGATTTTTGTTGTGACTGAACAAGACAAATTATTATGATCATGATTGGTTTCCATTGGTGAAGGATGTTTGTTTGTGCTTTTTTTTTATATTTTCGTACATTTTTACACTAAACACTATTTATGAACTTCCCCACCCAGTTCAATGTTTCAATTGTTTCCTCCTCCTCCTTCTTTTCCATACAACACTGAAACACTGAACGGAGAAAAATGTGTGTACTTGCTAAAAATATATATATCAATGTGAACGGGTGTTTGTTTCTCTTCGTTAAGCTTTTCAAATAAACTAACTGTTCTGTGTCCAAACTATTTCTCTGTCATTCATTTTTTTCTTGACAAAATCAGTTTGGGGCACATAGTGAGATGTTTTACTGCACTTTTTTTTTGTGTGAACCATGTATAGAAAAATTTATTATTTTAACATTAACTGGTAATTCTCAGTCATTTCACATTAGTTGAGATCGATCTTTGTGTTTAGTGCTCTTAGTGTGGTTGTTTCTATCACAGATAAATATATCTATATCTGTTGACTGATTTGTATGCTTTTTTAACTTCACATTTTAATCTGTGCTTAGTTTACTTACTTACTTACTTACTTAATTTGAAGATAAATTACTAGAATTTTTCCTTCTGTATACGTCCAAGCTTTGTTTATTTATTTTCCTCTCTCTCGCTCTCTCTCGCTCTCCATATATTAATTGATACTTTCTGTTGATTGCGCTTCATTTCCATTGTAATCTATATTCTACGGAACTTCTAAATATATTGTGATAACTTGGTTTCGAAAAAAAAACAACATGACCGGGGAGTTTTGTTTGTGTGTTTGTCAACGCTTCAAAGCTTTTGTTGATATTACAAATGATCAAGTATGAATATAATTTTTCATTAGGTTTGCATTGATTTATACTTGTTCTTGAATTCTATTTTTGGGAAATATTTTTTGATTGCAAAGTGTTGTCAGCTACGAAATAAGTGGGAAGCTGTAGGGAATAATGACCAATTGTTTAGTTTATATCTTACCAGTGGTGTTCATCCATGTCCCTCCCTATGTTAGATGTGATTTCGTGCTTCTCGATTGATTTTACTCAACCGCTTAGTTCATGAAGCTTTAGTGGTGACCGAGTCGAGATTGACTAGAGTCTAAACGTTCGCACGAAGACACAAAGGTCTTGGGTTCGAGTCCTGCGGGCGGAAGCGTAGTTGCGCACTTCTGATGAGTTCCATACTAGGAAGGGACGGTCATCCAGTGCTTCCAGGTTTACAGTGGTGGTCTAGCAATGATCGATTGATGATTTCAGATGGAAAACAGCAATATTCATATCTTTATAATGAATAATCTTTATTTGCAAAATTTTGTACTGATGTTTATCTTATATTTACACAAACTAGTGCCGGGTTATTTACTCTGGGAAGATTAATTCGTTCAATTCAGCGTGATTTCATTGACTACCGAGGAATATTTTTTAAAGTACATGTACACGTTAACAATGAATATCTCTATTTGTTATGATTTACCCCAACGGTCAGTTAAGAATCGAGAGTAATAACTGAAAATGGTCCATTCATGTTTTGTTTAGAAATTAGTAGTTCCTTACAATTATTTCATCCAATTCAATATGAATAAAATGTCATAATTTTGAAAAACAAGTCACTATACATTAAAAGTGAATTTATAAGAGATATGACTGTTATTATCGATTAGTCAGAAATAACTGTTGCTACGTTTCTAGGTAGCATTCTATCCTTCTCATTGCTGACCACTTGAAATAATGAAAAGAGTTGATTTAAGGTCACGTAAGATAAACACAGTTGCATAAGTAACTATGAGTAGATATAATTTCTATGATAAGACACATAAACATTGATATCAATTCACTGAACGAAATAATTAGACTTTTTCATTGATGAATTTTGTTTTTCAAAACCAAATTATATTTTGTAAAATCAGAGTAAAATGTCAAGATCTTAAACTCTGAAAAATTGGAATCATTTCATATCATGTGTCTGGTGTGTTGAAAGTGAGTGAACAATTCACAGTGGTTATTGAATGGGTACTATGCCTAATCACAAATCGGTCGAAGTTGAAAATGTTGTCCATTAGATTTCAGTTCAAATAAATGATTCGTATTCAGCTCATTTTGGTGTCTGAATATCGCGGACTCGGAACTATGAAGTGTATTGAGTATGTATTGGCCGGAGGAGTTTTGAACCGGATTACGCAGTAGTCCATTTCGTTTAAATTTCAAAAATTTGTCAAAAGAAGTTACTTCGTAATGAAAATCACTTATCGATATGATTTTTTGTAATAATCTAACAAATATAACGAACCAGATAATATACTTTATTGTTCAGAGATCGGTCATGTATCATTTAGGATGGGAAAAACTTAAGTTTATCTCAAACATATCTAGTTGTAGAAAATCTACCAGCCCAAATCGATTTAAAAACTGACATATATTTCACAAATGCACACCTTGAGAAATACTTATAATCTTTGAATAAATGAGTAAAATGTTATTCAAATACTTAATCATATTGGTAACGTAATGTATGCATTATATGAACTGCGTTTTCGGTTCACAGATTTATTATTTTAAGGACATTTCTATTCAGATTTCAAGTCGATTGGTTCAGCCGTTAGGTAGATTTTTCTAGAACAAAGTTATGACTAGTTATGCATAGACTTATAAATATTTGGTCTGGGGGTGAAATCGTACTTCTGACCATAGAGGGGTGTGACAGCAGTAAGGTGTTTCCCTCGGACAGTCAGCATCTATAGAGATGCGACCCCACAATGGAAAGAAGCAGTTAAAAAAGGTAGACCCTGAAAATGTCACACCTCACCTTACCCCGCGAACTTCTGTCTCAGGTGCTAAGGCATTGTGAAGCGCGAAACGATTTGAGTACACGAAATGTTATTCCTGATCTCATGAAACCACGCTCTAAACTTCATCTTGGAACTTTTAATGTTCGAACCTCGTGTCAAATAGAACAACAGGCTTCCTTAGCTATGACTTTAGAATCTAGTGCAATTGATGCATATTGCATCGCCGAAAGGCTCATACAGGATCCGAGTGGAATCATTAATTTGACTTCACCTTGTCCAGGTAGAGAATTAACTCGGTTTATGCCCCATGTATCTGGAAACCCTGCTGCTGCTTCCCGTGACTTCGCTGGTGTAAGTATAGCATCAAATTCTAAAGAAGAACTAGCTCTTATTGTGGATTCCAGTAGAGAGTCGTTTGTGTGCTCTGCGACTAAACGGGACTGTAAGGACTCGGAAAGATATGGACACTCACCCTTACCTCTTCGTTCTCTGCCTACGCTGCTACTGATTGCAACTCAGATGAAGTAGATGAATCTTACACAAAGTATTCCAACCCCCTTCAGGAACCCGAGCACTCTGATGTAATAATAGTGGCAGGTTGTTATAGTGCTCACGTATATGGATTAAGCGAAATTGAAAGACACTTTGGTGAATCTTATAGCGTCCAGTCACTCAGTCAACAACAACATAGAACTTCGTTCATTCGTACGTCAGTTCAGGTTGCCATACCACATTAGCACAGAGGTGCGATTGTCACTTCAAATCCCATAGTAGTAGAGGTAGTAGAAGTATTAGCAGTAATCGGAAGGATAAGGGTTCTAAGGTGTTATTCAAGAAGTATAATCTAGTGAAATAAACTTAAAAAGAAAAAGATATAGGTGATGAGGAATTAAGAAGGTTAGGATTTGAGAGAACACAAAGAATGAATGCACCTGCGCCATTGCAAACGGTTTTGAGCCATTTCATTCAAAGTCTGTAACCATTGGTTACTATCATCTCGCGGGCCCCAACCAAGTAGTCGACACCTACCAATATGGCTTAGTCCAGTTGTCAGTGACTTCATGAATTTGTGCCATGTTTTGGTTTGGCCGCCCCTAACTTTCTTCTAACCTATTCCTACATCGCAAGGCATAGCTCGACGAGGCAGTCGGTGGTTGGGCATAGTGTCGAGGCTCAAAAACCAGCTAATGGCGACCATCTCTTGCAAATATGCTTGAATAATCGCCTATTATTGGTAAACACCGACTTTAAGCATAAGGAACAACATCTTTGACATGGTGGCCTCCAAAATTGACTCAACGCCAGACTAAACTAGACCACATTTCTATCAGCCACAGATGTAAGGCTAGAAAGAAGACTGCTCGTAGTTCTGGAGCACATGTTTAGATTCAGATCATGTTCAAGTACGATCACATATTTGTCTGCATCTTAATGGACGTAAGAAGGACACAGCAAAGAAATGGCTTAGAGTCTTGCTTAACGATAATAGAGACAAGAGTATATTTCAGGAGCAACTAAGAAAACAGTTAAACAGCTATGTATTAGAATATTTTGTTAACGCTGATTACACTAACCCATCGGATATACTCTTCAAAATTATCTATACAATCGATGGATTTGGTTTGAGAGGAATACAAACCGATAACTTGTGCACCCAAACCTGAGCCCTGTATAAAAAAGCGATGCGTGCAAGATATTATTCTTCTTTGACTCTAACACCTAGTCTTCATGGACCGTAATTTAGCATGGTAATATTTCCTTATAGTGTTTTCAGTCTTCTTATTTCTTATGGTTCGTTATCATCACAACGTTTTTAATTTATTCTTCACACTTCTCGAACTTGTCAAGCGGACAGTTATCTTTGATAGAAATGGTTTTGAGTTACTAGTTTTTTTCAAATTCTAGACCTTTAAGCAACTGTCTTTCGATGTTTGAAATGATGTAATCCCTCTTTTTTTCATTGGACTACTTTATTTAATAATTAAATATAAATACGATTGTACAACTTGATTAAATGTTATTATTAAAAATAGAAGCTGTGAATTATCTGTAATTTCTAAAGCATTGTAACATGATAAATTAGTTTTCTAACCAGTGCGTTACTCGAATGAGCCAAGATCTATTATAAATTAATTATAGCCCCGAAATGCTCTGATACACTCGAAAGTGGAAAGAGTCTGTTCTCCCTCTCTCGATACTCTGACATGTTCACTATCAGAGAAGTACTACTTACTGCTTTCTTATAGAGGAAGTGTTATTGATGAAACTAGGAGGACAAAAAGCATGTCTGGCTCTGTGACCGGGTTGGGGGACACGGAAGATCCACCTTGGGGAACTGAAAAGCCCTGATTCCAAACCAATGTTGCACACGGTCTTCAGAATCCTGACACAGCTAATGGCGTTTGAACCAATTATTGGTCACCGACTACCATGAGAGTGAACTTCCTTACGTTGCACCACTGCGCTGTGGATTAGATTTTTGGGTCAAAGGCTCTGGTTGTGGTTCCCTGTTTTGGTTTGGGCATACTACAGCCCCCAGAAATTCGATAGTTTGTCTGGCGCATGAATATTTAGGTGCCCCTTTGAGCCAACAATTCTGTTTAATCAATAATAAAAATCTAGTTCATGGAAATATCAAGATTTTTAAACACAAAACTCCCAGTTTTGCATCTGACGACCTGATTCTAGATTTGTTATCAGAGGATACCTTGGAGTTTTTTTTTAATTTCAAGATCGGAAGTGACTGCTATAGAATTTCCGATGTGTCACCTACAATACACTCTAAAATTACTGATTTTTTCCGAAAAAATATAGATCCACAAGACAACAGTTTTAATAAACTTTTAATCTACCACAACTAGTAAAATCTAAGATTCAGATTTCAAGTTTCTTGCAGCTATAAAATTATGATTTTTAGAGGGCTGGCCAACAAAACTATGATAACTTCATACAATTTTGCATAAATTCACTTGAGATCAGTTAAAAATCAACATTGAAAAATCTAAGTTCATCCAAATGATTAAAATAACTCGCAAATATTATATAAACAGGATCAAAGAATTTTTATCCTATA